AACAACCCCAAAACTCAAGACAATAATCCCTATATTCCCCTCATAACGGAAGAACATTTTCATTTCTTGGGCGCGGGTTTTGAAAAGCAATAGTCCTGAATAGGGATCAAATACCTCCTAGTGTAATCCCTATTGTGACTGCTCGTATAAGGGTGAAACATCCCAACTCATGGTACAGTAACCCTAAACCCTAAACCCTAAACCTTAATCCTGATTGTCGGACTCCCATATCCAGCCCCGGCCCACGCAAACGACGCTCCGCCGCAGGCGTCGCGAACCTCGAGGGTTTAAAACTGGGGTAGGTAGGTGTTGAGGGGTTTTATAGGGTTCTTGTAGGGTTTATAGAGTCTACAGGGGGTCCATAGGGTCTAAAAGGGGGTTTGGTTTGAGGTATTGGGTTTTTGGTTAAGCTTTAAGGTTTTGGGGCTCCACTGAAGATGTGTGCCTTCCACCATCCTCGCACCCATCCACCCCCCTCATCCCCCGCTCGTCCCCAAATGTTCCCTTGGAGTGTCGTACAATGGGATCCACCCTCTAAACCACTCAAACCCTGAATAACAATACCCCCTAAAACCCTAACCCTACACCCTAAAATCCGAAACCCGATACCGCAAGACTCTGTGCTTCCAATGGCAACGGCCGAGTCCACGGGCGGGCCAACTCGCTGAGTATTTAGGACAACGGAGGGTGGTATGTGCGAGACCTTCCCACACCCAGCCAGGACGGTTTTTTGGGGTTTGGGGTTTGGGGTTTAGGGTTAGGGTTTAGGGTTTAGGGTTTAGGGTGGCGAGTATACCCTATGCCCCTTAAAAAAAGGCCCTTTATAAGGCTGAATTATAACTCGCCTATCCTGGAAGGGCCCAAAAGGACCCATGGTTGCTTCCTTTTTGGTATAAATGTTGGTGCTTCGGTTCATGTACCTATGTAGTTTAGGGTTTAGGGTTTTAGGTTAGGGTTTAGGGTTTAGGGTTTAGTATCTACTTGGCCCTTCAAGGAGTTCCTATATAGAGCAACTTAGTAGCTCACTCCTTTTGGGTTTCCTATCATCCCCTACAGAACTGAAAGTGTACACTGTTTTGGAGCTTATGAATTCAGCAACTAAGGCAGAATGAGGGGCGAGAGAGAGGAGAAAGGGAGGGAGAGAGAGAGAGAGGGAGGGAGGGAGACTCGCGCGTTGCGATGGGGTTTGCCCTATGCCCAACGAAAGACTGCAAGAAAGATAGACGCTCCTAGGACTCCTAGGGGCCTTCATGGTGTTTTTGTCGGGGGCCTGTCATGCGTTTTGCGAGCTGCGTGCCGCCAGCAGAGGTAGCAAACGGGATGCTGTCAAAATGGACATAGAGAGCGACAGCTTCCCAAACCTTCGGAAAGTACTTAAGCCTTATAAAGCTGCTAGGTTTAGGGCTTTGGGTTCAGTTTCCGCTTTGCTCGCACCTGCTACGCCAGGACCTCGAAGCATTAGGTTGCCCAGCTGCCCATAGAGGAACCTGGAAGAGTCACAGGGTGTAGGGTTTAGGGTTTGGGCTGAGGGCTTATAGGGCTAAGGGCTTAGGGTTTAGGGCTGGCTGTCTCAACAACCGCTACAAACTCTACCGTCCACTGGAGTCTACACTCTGGGCTTTTCTACTGTACGGCTTGAAGCCTCCTTTTGGGGATTTTGGAGTCCCTTGTCCCGACCGCTGTATGTACACTCACCAAAGCTCTCACCAGAAACGCCCTACTTCACAACTTCTCGACTTTGTAGGCCAGTAGTACGCCATATTCCAATAAGGGTACCCTTTTTGGGGTTGGTTGCTTTATCAGGGCACCTAGAACGAAAGGGTAAAAGGGCACCAGCTGGTCCGACTTTGTAAGGCCGTTTGGGGAGCTTGGGCGCCCCCGCCGCTCGCAGCAGCCCCCACTGGGCAAGGAGACGTCTGGCCGCGCCCAGGCAGGGACATCAAAGTGGCCTCATCCAGCTGGGTTTAGGGTTTAAGGTTCAGGGTTTGCCCGGCAAGTGAAGCTGGAAAGATGGCATGGCAGAAAGGACTGAGATTGCGGCTGACAAAGGTAACTGTGTCCCCCTCTTCCAGCCCTGGATATGTGACCTGCTTTCACGTGCTGAAACAGCAACATGGGCAAGCAGCGATGGCAAGCTCATAAGCCTATGCCGCTGCGTATTCAACCCTTCTAAACCCTAAACCCTAAAAGCCGACATGTGCCGTGGAAGTGTCAGCTGACAACAGCTTTCAAGGGGCCATCATGGGAGATTCCTGGACGCAGTACTGGCCCGACCCTTCCCCAAAGAGCATGGCATCAATAGGCACCCTGCCTTTAGATTTGGCCGACCCGTTTCAAACTCCAGCACCTGAGCAAGCAAGCTTCGCAGAGCTCTCTTCTCACCATGCTTTAGAAACACTGCATGGGTCGGCTCGGTGAGGCTTTCCACGTGGGGTGGGGGGGGGGGGGGTGCTGTATCAGTGACCACCTCTTTACGATGAAGCTTTCGAACGCTGTAAGATGGTCGTGTCGCCTTGGCTGCTCGGTCTCTGATGATCCCTACAGAGGCAGGGATTATCCAACTAACTATCTTCCCTAAACCCCAATTACGGAACCCGAAACCCTAAACCCTAAACCCTGCTTTCTTGCCGCCGGCTTGACATGACGGGTGCGGCCAGAGCAAGGCTCTGCTAGCTCCGTGAAGGGCTAGGCGTGAGAATCTGGTTGGTTCCCGAAGCCGTTGGCCCTTAAAACCAAATGCCAAGCCATGGTTGAACCCTACCTTTGTAAAGCCCCTTGTACGATTCTTGTGGTAATCCAAAAAAAGTGGGTTTTGGGGCTCTTAAGGTTGGCTTCCTAAGCTCAACCTGAGTTGGTGATGCGGGCTCACGCCCTCCAGGGAAACGACCCAGCGACCCACGCACATCTGAGCCATTGCTCAGATGAATTGCATTTTCATAACAAGTGCCATGTGAGTAGGACCCTGCAGTCAGAAGAGCTGAGCAAACAACAAAAACACACACAACGTGCTTGTCTAGTCTTACATTCTGTGAAGCGCCGGTCAAACATCGCGACAGATCCCCGACCAGGCTGCAGGGTGCTTTGACTGTAGAACCCCCATTGTCCGGGGTTCCACTCTCGCTTACATGCATATATGACCCATCGGCTGAGAAACCGCAGGCTGCGCTCATCGGCACAGGTCGCAGTGACTGCACACGGACGGGGGTTCCACCGTCTCCTCCCAGTTCGACTAGGCAAGGCTCGTCAGGACGGCAGTGCCCACAGCAAGACTGATCTTGGCGGCAACGCTTGAAGAGATCGGGCTGGCTGCGACCGTGGTGGTCGTTGTCGTGGTGACGGTCCACATCCCGTCATGGATCTCCGAGATCGTGGCACAAGCGATGCGGCCACCGTCGAAGTCGTGGATGATCATGGTATGGTCTTCCACGTCATCCTCCTCATAGCCTGTGGGCACCATGACGTCCATCATCACCGAGGGCATGTGGCTGGTGTTGTACATGATCATGGCCCAGGGGTCGGCGGTCACATAGGTGGAGTTCCAATAGTGGCCGCCGATGGTGTCCTTGTCTGAGCAGTTCATGCCTACGTGGATGTGGACTCCACAGCAGTTTGCTGCAGTGCAGGCGTCGCTGCATCGCGTGTCCAGCCCGGCTGTGAAAATCCAGGACAAGCTCTGTGTGACGTCCTTGGAGCTCACCTTCATGACGCCGGCAGTGGCAAGGTTGCCGGTGTAGCCAGGATAGGCAGCAAAGCTGTCTGTGGAGCCCTCGTCAATGAGCCCGCAGGCGATCCGGCCGCCGTCATAGTCGTGGATCACCATCGCACGGCCGGAGACATCCGCGCCCGATGCGCCAGTCACGACGGCCAGGTTGGTCTCCAGCGCCGGCATGCTCGTGGTGTTGTACATGACGGTCAACCAGGGATCGGTGCCATTGGTCGTCCAGTAGTGGCCTCCGATGCTGCTGGCATCAGAGCACGTCTTGCCCTCGTGAATGTGAACGCCACAGCAATTCGCGGCGGTGCAGGTCTCGTTGCACCGGGTGTCCAGGCCAGAAAGCTTCCAGGACAGGGTCTGCGTATCCCCGGAGGAGACGACGGCCATGATGCCCTCCACGGCTAAGGATCCAGCATAACCCGGGTATGGGGCGAAGCTGCCAACGATGGCATTGTCGTAGTTGTCGGCCCTGGCCAGCAAAAGCTGCAACAGCACTACCACGGTTGAGCGAAAGGAAGCCATGGCCGGAGAAGACAAAAGCACCGGTTGCAGGATTATGCGGGTGTAGGCTGGGAGGCTTGAGCCCAAGTTCCCCCAGGGATTGATGCGCAAAACAACTTTCTTCCCTAAACCCGAAACCCGAAACCCGAAACCCTAGACCCTAGACCCTAAACCCTAAACCCTATACCCTGCGTTTTTGCCGCCGGCTTGACATGACGGGTGCGGCCGGAGCAAGGCTCTGCTGGCTCCGTAAAGGGCTAGGCGTGAGAGTCCGGTTTGTTCCGGAAGCCGTTACCCCTTAACACCAACTGCCAAACCCTACCTTTGTAAAGCCCCTTGTCGTATTCTTTTGGTAATCTAGCAAAGAATAGGTGTCGGGGGCTCGTAAGGTTGGCTCCTGTGTTGGTGATTCGGGCTCACGCCCTCCAGGGAAACGACCCAGCGACCCACGCACATCTGAGCCATTGCTCAGATGAATTGCATTTTCATAAAAAGAACCATGTGAGTAGGACCCTGCAATCAAACAAGCTGAGCAACAACACCGACACAACGTGCTTGTCTAGTCTAGTCTTACATTCCGTGAAGCGTCGGCCAAACATCGCGACAGATCCCCTACCAGGCTGCAGGGTTCTTTGACAATGCCTGTAGAACCCCCATGGTCGGGGGTTCCACTCTCGCTTACATGCATATGACCCATCGGCTGAGAAACCGCAGGCTGCGCTCATCGGCACAGGTCGCAGTGACTGCACACGGACGGGGGTTCCACCGTTTCCTCCCAGTTCGACTAGGCAAGGCTCGTCAGGACGGCAGTGCCCACAGCAAGACTGATCTTGGCGGCAACGCTTGAAGAGATCGGGCTGGCTGCGACCGTGGTGGTCGTTGTCGTGGTGACGGTCCACATCCCGTCATGGATCTCCGAGATCGTGGCACAAGCGATGCGGCCACCGTCGAAGTCGTGGATGATCATGGTATGGTCTTCCACGTCATCCTCCTCATAGCCTGTGGGCACCATGACGTCCATCATCACCGAGGGCATGTGGCTGGTGTTGTACATGATCATGGCCCAGGGGTCGGCGGTCACATAGGTGGAGTTCCAATAGTGGCCGCCGATGGTGTCCTTGTCTGAGCAGTTCATGCCTACGTGGATGTGGACTCCACAGCAGTTTGCTGCAGTGCAGGCGTCGCTGCATCGCGTGTCCAGCCCGGCTGTGAAAATCCAGGACAAGCTCTGTGTGACGTCCTTGGAGCTCACCTTCATGACGCCGGCAGTGGCAAGGTTGCCGGTGTAGCCAGGATAGGCAGCAAAGCTGTCTGTGGAGCCCTCGTCAATGAGCCCGCAGGCGATCCGGCCGCCGTCATAGTCGTGGATCACCATCGCACGGCCGGAGACATCCGCGCCCGATGCGCCAGTTACGACAGCCAGGTTGGTCTCCAGCGCCGGCATGCTCGTGGTGTTGTACATGACCGTCAGCCAGGGGTCTGTGCCGTTCGTAGTCCAGTAGTGGCCTCCGATGCTGCTGGCATCAGAGCACGTCTTGCCCTCGTGAATGTGGACGCCACAGCAATTCGCGGCGGTGCAGGTCTCGTTGCACCGGGTGTCCAGGCCCGAAAGCTTCCAGGACAGGGTCTGCGTATCCCCGGAGGAGACGACGGCCATGATGCCCTCCACGGCTAAGGATCCAGCGTAACCCGGGTATGGGGCGAAGCTGCCAACGATGGCATTGTCGTAGTTGTCGGCCCTGGCCAGCAAAAGCTGCAACAGCACTACCACGGTTGAGCGAAAGGAAGCCATGGCCGGAGAAGACAAAAGCACCGGTTGCAGGGGTCTGCGGGTGTAGGCTGGGAGGCTTGAGCCCAAGTTTCTCCATCCGCCCGTAGACCTTATGGTCATGTGCAAGCAAGTTCATTTCGAGATAACTTCAGGGTAATATCAACTACCCACTCAACACATGCACTGGCGCCCAAAAGGCCTCGATCTTCAAAGGGCCATGGCGGCCGGCGAAACAGGCCAGCTCGTCCTTCCCCAAGCAAAGGGCCGAGTTTATGGCGAGGACAGTTTGGGGTTCGGGACACGTAATTTGCGCATCGATGCGCTGGGCTTGAGACTCAGTGCTGGTTTCGGGGGTACGGGACTGCTTCACACTCAGGCGTGGTGGGATCTCTCGTCCCTATACCAATCTGCTACGTAGGGTTCTGTCCGCGAAGAACCACAAACACAGATGGGGCTTCATTAATTCTGCGTGGCGTCCCAGGAACTTCGTAAGGGTACCCTTTGTTGGGTTGGGCACTATATGAGGGAGCCTGGCGGGAGGGTTTTTTTTTTTAAAGGTGTGGCTCGGACGCTTTTTTTTAAAAGGTGTGGCTCAGCTTGGCTTCGCAAATACTGTAAATAGCAGCATTTCTGCGTTTAGAGAGGCTGCAAATACTGTAAATAGCAGCATTTCTGCGTTGTCAGAGGCTTCAGATACTTCAAATGGCAGCATTTCTGCGTTGTCAGAAGCTTCAAATACTGTAAATAGCAGCATTTCTGCGTTGTCAGAGGCTGCAGATACTGTAAATAGCAGCATTTCTGCGTTGTCAGAGGCTGCAAATTCTGCACCAATACCATAAATAGCAGCATTTCTGCGTTGTCAGAGGCTTCAGATACTTCAAATGGCAGCATTTCTGCGTTGTCAGAGGCTTCACATACTGTAAATAGCAGCATTTCTGCGTTGTCAGAAGCTTCCAAGACTGTAAATAGCAGCATTTCTGTGTTGTCAGCGGCTTCCAATACTGGAAATGGCAGCATTTCTGCGTAGCAGAATTTCTGCGTTGCGTTGGCTGCAAATACTGTATGTAGCAGCATTTCTGACATAAATGTATATAGCAGCATTTCTGGGTTTTCAGACGCTGCAACCAAGGGCATTAAATAGCACCATTTCTGTGTTTTCAGAGGCTTCAGATACCGTAAATGGCAGCATTTCTGCGTTGTCAGACACTGCAAATACTGTAAATAGCAGCATGTCTGTGTGTTCAGAGGTTGGATATAAATCATATGCTGTTATATAAACATATCTATATATATATATATATATATATATTATGGTTATGTATTTATAGTTATTATTTTGTAAAGTGTATATGACAATATGCTATTTAGTATTATATATATATAATACACTATCTATCTATCTATCTATCTATCTATCTATCTATCTATCTGTGTATATGTGTATATGTGTATATGTGTATATGTGCATATGTGTATATATGTATATATGTATATATGTATATATGTATATATGTATATATGTATATATGTATATATGTATATATGTATATATGTATATATGTATATATTATATATGTATATATGTATATATGTATATAATGTATTGTAATTATACAATGTATATTTATATTATATATATATATGCAAGCCCCTCCCCCCCCCCCCCCCCCTATACATTTATATATAATATATATATCGCCCCCCCCCTCCCCCCCCCCCCCCCCCCATTTGCAACTCATGCTTGCATGATGGGTTTCAAGATTCATATGCTTGAAGCAAGCTTGCACGCTTAAACAAGGGGGGGGGGGGGTTGGGGGGGGCGCAGCCCCCCCCCATTTGCAAACTCAATGCTTGCATGTAGGTTGCAAGATTCATATGCTTTGAAGCAAGCTTGCACGGCTTAAAAAAGGGAGGGGGGGGCGCAGCCCCCCCCATTTGCAAACTCAATGCTTGCATGATGGGTTTCAAAAAGATTCATATGCTTTGAAACAAGCTTGCACGGCCAAGCTTGCACGGCTTAAAAAAGCGGGGGGGTTGGGGGGGGCGCAGCCCCCCCCCATTTGCAAACTCAATGCTTGCATGTAGGTTGCAAGATTCATATGCTTTGAAGCAAGCTTGCACGGCTTAAAAAAGGGAGGGGGGGGCGCAGCCCCCCCCATTTGCAAACTCAATGCTTGCATGATGGGTTTCAAAAAGATTCATATGCTTTGAAACAAGCTTGCACGGCCAAGCTTGCACGGCTTAAAAAAGCGGGGGGGTTGGGGGGGGCGCAGCCCCCCCCCATTTGCAAACTCAATGCTTGCATGTAGGTTTCAAGATTCATATGCTTTGAAGCAAGCTTGCACGGCTTAAAGAAGCGGGGGGGTTGGGGGGGCGGGCAGCCCCCCCCATTTGCAAACTCAATGCTTGCATGAAAGGTTCATATGCTTTGGAACAAGCTTGCACGGCTTCAAAAGCGGGGGATTGGGGGGGGGGGGGGGGGGCGCAGCCCCCCCAATGTATACTATATGCTATGTACTGTATGTTATAATATATATATATATATATATATATATATATTATATTCATAATACATAAATGTTATATATATTATATCACACATTGCAAACTATATATTTTACATTATATGATGTATGATATCATAAATTAAGATCAGGGATCGCGAGACCACAGGACGAGAGGACCGCAGAACCAGAGGACCACGGGACCACGAGACGACAGGACCAAGGGGACCACGGGACCACGGGACCAGAGGACTGCGGGACCAAGGGAACAACGGGACCAGGGGAGCAGAGGACCACGGGACCAGACGACGGGACCAAGGGGACCACGGGACCAGGGGACCAGAGGACCAAGGGGACCAGTGGGGGGGGGGGGGGGGGACGAGCCACACCTTTTAAAAAAAGGAGGCCCGAGCCACACCTTTTATAAAAAAAAAACCCTGTCCCGCCAGGCCCAGGGAGCCTTGAACCAAAAAAAACAGGGAAAAAGGGCACCACCGGCCGGTCACGTATGTCATGTCGACCCAATGCACCGGTGAGCAGAGAGGGGCGTGTGTTCAGCTAATAGCAGATGCAAGCCTTGTTGTAGCCACCTGTGACGCCCCGCACGACACCTTCCTTCTCGGGTCCTGAATCAAAGTTGCTGCGAAGTGCTCCTTCGCAGTGCGAGAAGGACGTGAGTTGGCGTGCGTCTTGCGAGGTCCAATCTCCTTGCTTACCATTGTGGACATGCAGGTGGACATGCAGACTGGCGTGGAGCCCCATCGCAGTCCTCAGCACTTTCATGAGTTCCGAACCCACTTCTAGACTCACCCAAGCCAAAACCCTCGAAAATCCCTCGAGATTCCCCAGTGAAACCTTCTGAGCCTGAGACCCCTCAAATCCTCAGGCCCTGAAGCCCTGAACCCCTCAAAACACAAGCTTCCGGTCCTTGGCCGACCCATACTTTGGGGTCGTCTGAAGTCGACCCAGGCGGGCCTGACATGCTCGCGCCACACTTCAGGCTCTTGGGCCCTAGACCCTAAACCCTAAACCCTAAACCCTAAACCCTAAACCCTAAACCCTAAACCCTAAACCCTAAATCCAGAAAGTCCCGACCTCTGCCAGAAATCTGGACAGCAGATCGAGGAAGGCCTTCTCATGAAGAACCTGCTGCTGACAGGGGCCTCTACACCCTAAACCCTAAACCCTAAACTCTAAACCCTAAACCCTAAACCCTAAGCCTCTAAACCTCGGACCTCTAAGGTGATTACGCTTGGGTTTGGGAACCCTCTTTTCTTTTTCAGATCCCCAAGGTTATCTGAGGGCCATGTTAAGAGAAGAGTGTACTAAGGGAAACCTTTAGGGGTACAACCTTAAGGGTACGAGTCTTAATCCCTTGATGCTGGGGAACTTATAGTCGGGCTTCCGGTCACAGTTGGACCAGACTCGGTAACCTCTCCGCAACATGCAAATTGCAGGCTCTTTGCACACAGCAGTTGCTAGTTAATTGAAGCTGGGAAACCCTAAACCCTAAACCCTAAACCCTAAACCCTAAAACCCTAACGGTCCAAGCTGGGCGCTCACTCCCCCGTGCCTGTCTCACGATCTGCCACTTCCACTGCCGGCATGTCGGTGAAGTCCCTGCCGCCTGCAGTGTGCGGGGTTTAAGGGTTTAGGGTTTAGGGTTCAGGGCTTCAGGGTGGTATACTCTTACGATGTTAAATGTTCATATTAATTAATACTACTATCTGACTAGTAGGTCATAATATGAATATTCATATTAATTGCGAAAAATATATAGCTTCCTTTTCATAGATGGGTTATAATACGGTTTTTTTCCTTAAGGACCTCGATGCAAAATACCCATCCTCCTCGCAAGCTTTCGGATGCTCGGGATCCTTGCACCCAAGAAGGCCCGATCCGATCGGTGACCAGTTCTCGTCCTCACACTGTCCTAGTATTTGCTTAAGAACCCCAAAAGAATGAAACAAAATAATAATCCCTTATAAGGGGGTTTTGCTTTTTTTTTTTTTTTTTTTTTTTGGGGGGGGGGGGGTTCTTAAGCAATTAGTAGTGTCCGTGCGACATATGATTGGCAGTGCAGATGTCCGAGTACGTCGGCCCGAGCTGCAAGTTGGAAACACGTTCAGGGCTTGATACCTTGCCGTAAACGCTTCAGACCCGACGGCTGGAAACTTTATGAACTCCACTACAGTAATGTGTTGAAATGAACTTTATGACCGGGTGCTGACCGGGATTTGGACCAAACACATCCATTCCGTCAGGCCGTCTAAAGCCTGATCTTCTATTCTGAGCCGGGTCGTTATGAACAAAGGGGTGTAATTAGTCAAAACAATTTCCGGAGATTTTCCCAACAAATGGTCTTTTCAGATCCTGTTACAAACTCTCTCTGTCGCTCTCCCCCTTTTGCTTCTCCCCTCTATTTCTTTTTTTCTTTATTTCTTTTTGTTTCTTTCCTTCTTCCCTTCTTCCTTTCTTTCCTTCTTTCCTTTTTCCCTTCTTTCCTGCTTTCCCTCTTTCTCTCTTTCTTTCTTTCTCTCGTTCTCTCTTTCGCTCTTTCTTTCTTTCTTCCTCTCATTATTTCTTTCTTTCGTTCTCAGATCACAGAGCCAGCAT